CCCTAGCTTTAGATTAACTTTGTTCTTGTTTCTCCAGTTCTTTGAGGGGTGACATTAAGTTGTCAATTTGTGCTCTTTCAGACTTTTTAATATAGGCATTTAGCACTGTAAACTTTGCTCTTAGCAGTGCTTTTTCTGTATCTCAGAGGGTTTGATAACTTGTCTAAATATTATTCAACTTACAGAATTTAAAAATTTTTATCTTGATTTTATTATTAACCCACATATCATTTAAGAGCAGATTATTTAATTTTTATATATTCATGTAGTTTTTAGGGTTCCTTTTGGAGTTGATTTCTAGTTTGATTCTACTGTGGTCTGAGAAGATACTGGATACAATTTTGATTTAAAAAAATTTATTGAGACTTGTTTTGTGGCCTACCATATGGTCTATTTTGGAGAATGTTCCATGAGCTGACAAAAAGAGTGTATATTCTGCAAATCTTTTGCAGAATTTTCCGTAAATATTTGTGAAGTCCCTTTGTTCTAGTGTGTCATTTAAGTCCATTGTGTCTGTTGACTTTCTGCCTCTAAGATTTGTCTAGTGCTATCAGTGGTGTATTCAAGTCTCCCAATATTATTATTTTTTTTGCTATCTATCTCATTTCTTAGGTCTGAAGCAGGAGTGGCAGGGAACAAATCTCTCGAACACTGAACTGAGGAAGGAAGTGGCTTCTTATTTGGCCAGGAGCTTCTTATTTGGGGGGCTACAGCCTCATCCACCAAGCTCCCTGAGCTGCAGCTTCTCTCTCCTTTTATAGACGTACAACACTAAAGGGGAAACTGAGGCAGAACTTTGTCATTGTCCATTTGCTGGATGTCCAGCCTTACAATGTTTTGCCTTCATTGATTTGCTAATTCATATGCAGCATGAGTGGGGACCGGCAGCGGAGGGGGCTTGGAGAGACAAGACAAAAGCAGCAAGTTGTTTGTTGGCAGAGGTGTTTCCAGTAGGGAGCCTGGACCTTGGAGATGTGGGGACGTGACCCAGTTCCAGGCTCCAGCCGGCAGGGATAACATTCATTTGCAACTCTTTCAAGGTTAACAGATAGCAGAGACGCTGGAAACTAAAAGGGAGTCATTTTCCCAGATCTTTTGTATTTTATTTTATTTTATTTTACTTTTTCTCTTCTTCACCCTCTTTCCCATGTGGGAGCTGGGGAGGGAGGAGGTAAAACAGAAGGAAGCAAAGGGGTCCTTTCCCTCCCTTTGAGAATCTCACTTACCTCTTTTTTTTTTTTTTTTAGTGAGAATTCTCACTCTTACCTTCAGCCTTGCTGTCAGGGTTTTCTGGTGAGACAGATTGGTGGTGGTTCATGTAATAGGTCTGCACTGATGTTTTTTCTTGAACCATGGCAGTAATAAATCCTTTTATCACTTGAAGGAGCAAGGGCATTAAGCAGGGGAGCAATATTCATGCTCCTATCATCAGTAACACACTTATGATAATGGTCTTGAGTCCTCCTATAGCAGGAAACAAATTCCCAAACATTGATTCAGGGTTGAACCCATGCTGGACCTGTACGAGTACATATGTCAGTTTTGTCATGTCCCTTACAATAATTTCAACCATGAGGTCCTGGGTGGCATTATATAAACAAGTTCCTTTGAGGGTTCTGGTGCATTCATAATAACTGTAGAACAAGAGAACTGTGGTAACCTTTGTACTACCATAGTAACCTTAGGTATGCACTGGGAACAATCCTTGGATGGGGGATTTATAGCTACTAGGGTAGCAAAGACACAAATCCGTAGTCCAAAGAGAAGGCGTACCTGTCCCATGGAGGCAGTCCTCGTGCTTTGGCCATTCGTAGACCAGTCAGCTTCCGGGGTGTGACTGGAATAGGGCTTGTTGTCTCGGTTCTCCTTAAGGTGATCTTACATGGGTTATCGAGATCTGTCTTCACTTCCCAGGTGTCTGATGCTGCAGGAATTCCCTTGACCTTCACGGCAATTGGAGTTGTCAGAATGACAGTTTGGGGTCCTTTCCACCTCAGTCGTAGGGGGGCCACGTTCCAGTCCTTGATCCACACTCAGTCACCTGGTGAGAAAGGGTGAACTGGGGAGAATAAGCTGACAGGGCATCTTTCATTAACCCATTCAGACACCTTCTCTGCCACATTTCCCAAAGCCTGTAATTGCTGACATAATTCGGTTTCCCCTAATTCACAGGGAGTCCCTGGGAGTCTCCAGAGAGTGGGAGGAGGCCGGCCTATAAGGGGAATATTCAGTTTTTTTAGAAAGTATACAGCTAATCTTAAACAAAACCATAGGAAGGACCTATACCTACTTTAACCCCGTCTCCTGGCACACTTCCCTAAGCTATTCTTTATAGTTCTGTTTATTCGCTCCACTTTGCCTGAACTCTGAGGCCAGTAGGCAGCATGTAGTATCCAGTTTATTCCTAGCATTCTAGCTGTACTCTGCACCAGTCAGCTAAAATGCAGGCCCATTGTCTGAGCCAACTCTCAAAGGCAGTCCAAATCTAAGGATGATGTCTCTTAAAAGAGCACGAGTCACTTCATGGGCCTTCTCAGTCTGTGTTGGGTAGGCTTCTACCCACCTGGAGTAAGGACATACCAGAACCAGCAGATATCAGTTACCTCTGCACTTAGGCATCTAAATGAAATCTGTTTGCAACTTTTCAAAAGGAGTACTTTCATAAGCCTGGATTCCTGGTGGGATCATAGGTCCTTGTCTGGCATTGTGCTGTCTGCATGTAACACACCATTGTGTCACTGTTTTTGCTATTGCAGATAAATGAGAGATGTGAAAATACCAGCCTAACAATTTTTCAAGGGTTTCTTGACCAAGGTGGGAGAAGGTTAGTTGGGCAGCTAAGATCACTGCAGGTCCTAAGAGCTGCAGCACTGCTACCCTTCCATCTGGCAGGCATATCCATCCTCCTTTTATTTCCTGTCCACCTTCAGCTTGGAGGAGATTTTGTTCTCCCTCTGAGCAAACTGGCACCAAGTCTGGGACCTGGGGCAGTAGGGGGGGCCACAACTGATGCCTGATATGGCATGGATGTTGCCCTCTGGGCTTCTGCATCTGCACGGGCATCTCCCTGTGCTATTGTGGTGGAGGTTTGCTGATGTCTTCTGCAGTGCACGACTGCCACTTTTTGGGGCTTCCATACTGCTTCCAGTAGCTGCAAAATTTACTGTTGGTATTTTCTTTGCCCCCAGAGTTAAGTAGGTACTTCTCCTTGTACTTGGAGAGTGAGGAAGGCATACTGAGTCAGTGAAAATGTTAACAGTTTTTTATTCACTTAATTCCAAGGCACAAGTTAAGGCTATTAACTCCACTGTCTGTGCTGAGGTGCGTTAAGGTAATAGCTTGGCCTCTAGAGTTGAGTCCAGAGTCACCACTGCATATCCAGCACACCTTTCCCCTAGAGGGTTAACAAAACTGCTTCCAACCACATACAGTTCCCAGTCAGCCTGAGACCATGGCTGGTCCTGCAGATCCAGCTGACTGGAGTAAACTGAGTTCAGTACCTCTAAGCAGTTATCTGTTACCAGGTCCTCAGACACTGGGGAGTAAGGTGGCTGGATTTAGGGTGTTACAAACTTCTATTGTTATGTGTGGATTCTTGCACAGTAGGCTCTGGTACTTAGGGAAGCAGGCATTGGTGAGCCAGTGATGTCACTTCGTGTTCATTAAGGTGACCACAGTGTGTGGGCTTTTATCTTTAAATTCTGTCCCAAAGTTAGCTTGTCAGCCTGTTGTGCCAATAAGGCAGTGGCTGCTAAGGCTCCTAGACATGGAGGCCATCCCTTGGAAACTCCATCCAGTTGTTTGGACAAGTATGCAACTGGTCAAGGACATGGGCCCACAGTCTGGGTCAGGACCTCCACTGCCATTTACATACAGATACATACAGCATAAAGGGTTTTGTCAAGTCCAGCAGTCCCAGAGCCAGGGCAGACATCAGTTTAGCCTTTAACAGCAAGAAGGCCCCATGCTGCTCTGAGCTCCACTCAGATGGCTCTCCATCCCTGCCACCTTTGTGGCTTCATACAGGGGTTTAGCCACAACTGCAAAGTAAGGAATTCACAGTCTGCAGAATCCCACTGTTCCCAAGAATTCTCGTACCTGCCTTTGATTCTTGGGCACCAGCAGGTTACTGATAACCTGCTTTCTTTCTATTCCTAGGCTTCGCAGCCCCTGCTGGATGGTAAATCCCAGATAGTGCACCTGCTGTTGGCAAATTTGGGCCTTCCTTTTTGGAAGTCTTGTATCCACAGGTCTCCAGGTGTCTGAGCAACAAGTCAGTTCCCTGGGCATATCTGGCTGCTACTGCGTGTTCCAGCAAAAGGTCATCCACATGCTGAAGCAGCACACAACCTAGCTCCTTGGTGGGGAACCTCTGGAGGTCCTGGGCCAATGCCTCTCCAAAGATGGTTGGAGAATTTTTGAATTCCTGTGGAAGTCAAGTCCAGGTGTACTGTGTTGTTACACCTGACTCTGGATCTTCCCACTGGAAGGCAAACAGTTTCTCACTCTCAGGGGCTAACAAGATACTGAAGAAAGCATCCTTTAAGTCTAAGCAAGTGAACCAGCTGGCCTCAGCTGGCAACAGTCCTAGCAACGTATAGGGATTGGGCATTGTGGGGTGCAAGGTCACAGTTGCCTGATTGACCAAATGCAGATCCTGCATCAGTCTAAAGTTCTTGGTGTCCAGCTTGGGGACAGGCAGGAGAGGTGTGTTCCAAGGAGACCGGCAGGGAACCATAATACCATAAGCTTTCAGGTGTCTGAGAGGGACCTGGATGCTCTCAAGAACTTCTCTTGGTACTGAGTACTGCCTCTGTCTAACTGGTAGTGCCCCCAGCTTTACTTTGATAACCACTGGGGCTTGGTTTACTGCCAAACCTGGGGGGTTGTCTTCTGCCGAGACCTGTAGCCATCACTTGGTCAGTGCAGGGGTTAATTCTCCTCCTGGCTCTGTCAGGAAGAGTCTCCACTCCTCTGCCCTTGGGACTGTGAGAGCCATAATTATTCCTGCCTGAGGCAGTTTGAGCTGCAGAGAGCCCTTATCAGTAAAAGTGATAGTAGCTCTTAGTTTGCTCAGCAAGCCTCTTCCCAAGACGGGTAGAAAGCACTCCAGCTTGCACAAGAACTGTCGTATAATCTCGGCCTCCCATTGAGCAGGTGAGTAGCAGGCAAAAACTCTGTTTTTCTGAAACTTCAGTTGCCCCAATTATATTTATTGTCTTGCTGGACAAAGGGGCCATGGGTTGGGTCACCACCGAGTGCTCTGCTCCAATGTCGATTAAAAAATCAGTGTCCTTGCCCCCCATGTTCATCCTGACCATGGGCTCTTTGGGGGCATCCAAGCCTGGTGCCCTTCAGTCCATTGCCCCCCCCTGCCAAGCTAAACAGGGTAGTCTCACCCTTCCTGAGGCTTCTTGCTTGGAGTTACCCTGTTCCCCTGCCAACTGAGGACACTTACTTTTCTAGTGCCCCATTTCTTTACAATGGGTACACTGGTTGCACTGTAGACATGGTTGATTTAACTGGGTGTTTTTTCCAGGGCCCCCCTTGCCCTGCCCCTTTAAAGGGGTTCCTCTGATAGCCATGGCCAGCAAATCAATATTTCACCAGTTCTTTTGCTTATTCTGTCGATAGCTTACTGCATTTCTATTTACAAACACCTGATGGGCTATTTCCAAAAACTATGCAGTGCTCATGGCAGCAAACCCATTCTGTTTTTGTAACTTTTTTTTCTGATATTATTTGCACTTTGACCAAAGTTAAGTTTACCATGCACTGATTCTCAGGGTTCTCAGGGTTCAAAGGAGTATACATGTGGTAGGCCTTACACAGTATTTTATAAAACTGGGCTGGACTCTTATTTACCCCTGCTTAAGTTGAGATACTTTGTGTATATTTGTAACTTTTTGTGCTCCTTTTCTTTCTCCCTTCGGTAAGGCCTCTCTGTATTGAGTTAGCCTCTGCATGCCCTCAGGGGTATTTGGGTCCCACTGAGGGTTGGTTCCTGGTAACTGGGTTCTTACATATTCCTGGGGATTTTGGTAATTAGCTGGAACATGCTCTTCCAGCCATTTAGATGTCCCCTGGAGCACTCTTCACCTCTCATCAGTGTTAAAAAGATACATGAGCAACTGGTGACAATTAGCCCAAGTAGGGTTATGAGTTAGGATGACAGTTGGATCAGGTCAATTAAAACTTTGGTCTCTCAGTGTAAGATGGGTTGTTATTCTTCCAGTTGATGAGGTTGGACGAAGTGAATGGTACGTATGTGAAGACATGCCTTTCCACCATATATTCATCCCCATTTACTCTTGTATACCACTACTCTCTCAGGGGCATTTGCATTCCAGTCTTGGGCTGCAAATGAGCCCCCAGGGGAGAGGATCCCCCTGAGAAGAGGGCCGCTATGGGAGGAGTGCCTCTTGATGCTGCACTTTCTTTTCTTTTTTTTTTTTTTTACTCTGGGCTGTCTAGGAGGGTTCAGACCCTGTGGAGGCATTGAGATCTCTGGCTTTGGAGAGGGGGGCCTCTCCTCCTGGTAAGGAGGGGGTGTTATTGGAAGAGAGTCCTCTGGTGCTGAGTCAGCCAAGATCTTAGAAGCCTGTGTCCCCTGGCAGGTGGAGTAAAATTTTTTCTTAACTGCTTGTCCCTTTGCTACTTACACTGTGGCTGCTTGGCCTCTTTACCACTGTGGGAGGTTTAAAACTAAATGTAACCAAGTATTTATGTATGGAAATTGGTTAAGGTGTCATGGCTTTCCTGCAAACTTGTGCCACACTTTGGAGACAAGGGAACTGTCCAGGCTCCCTTCTGTGGGCCAATCTGCCTCTAATGCTGGTCAGGCTACTTCACACAGAGTTTTAATTTTTTTTGGTGTCATGGTGGCATCATAATCTCCACTAAATCCCTTCTTGAAATTCTTTAGCATAGTTTTCAATGGAGTGGGTTTGCTCTGCATTTTACCCATCTCCCTCTAGCCAAGTTAGAAACAGAAACAAGTTTAAGGCACCAAGACTGGCTTACAGAGTCACAAAATTAAAACCAAAGTTCTGAGATTGATACATCCACACAAGAACAGAACTAAAACCAAGGTGCCTACCTTGGCACACACACAGGAACAAAACCAGAACCAGGGTGCTGACTCAGCATACTCTATCATGACTGCCCTGGCAAAAGGTAAGCTATTCCCCACTGCACTATGTCAGCTGCCAGCTCAGCAGGCCCTATCCTACTCTTTGCTGGCTCTCAGGACACACACACACAAGAAAAGAACCAAAACCAAGTGCCTACCTTGGCACACCATGGGTAATCAGGCCACACTTTCACCCAGTGGGGTGGGCCAGTGAAGCTTCTCAGAATTAATCCTAACAAGTTTCTGACATCTGGGATCTGAGCACACCAGTTCCTTCTCAGGCTTCAGCCTCTGTGCCAGATCTCTGTGGGCCTGCCTGGCTGTGCTGTGGGAGAAGGGTCCACCGGGTCCAATGCCTACGTGGGAGCCCTCTCAGGATCCCCTTTCCCAAGTGGGCTGGAGTCTCCATAGGGATGCTCTGCAGGGCAGGGCAAAACTGCCTGGAAGGCTGTCCTGGCTGTCTGCAACCAAAACTTGTTTCCCACTCAGGGACCAAAAATGAAGCAGGAGCGGTGGGGAAGAAACCTCTAGAACACTAAACTGAGGAAGTGGCTTTTTATTTGGCTGTGAGCTTCGGGGTCTACAGCCTCATTCACCGAGCTCCTCGCGTTGCAGCTTCTCTCCCTTTTTATAGGCTTACAACCCTAAAGGGGAAACTGAGGTGGAACTATGTCGTTGTCCATTTGCTGGATGTCCAACCTTACAATCTTTTGGCTTTATTGATTGCTATTTCATATGCAGCATGAGTGGGGACAGGCAGCAGAGGGGGCTTATAGAGATAAGACAAAAACAACAAGCTGTTTGTTGGTAGAGGTGATTCCAGTAGGGAGCCTGGTCCGTGGAGATGTGGGGATGTGACCCAGTTTTAGGCTCCAACCAGCAGGGATAACATTCATTTGCAACTCTTTCAAGGTTAACAGATAGCAGAGACCCTGGGAACTAAGAAGGGAGTCATTTTCCCAGCTCTTTGGTATTTTATTTTATTTTTTCCTTCTTCCCTCTTCTTCCCATCTGCAAGGTGGGGAGGGAGGAGGTAAAATAGGAGGCAAGGGGGTCTCCCCTCTGAGGTCTAATAGTAACTGTTTTATGAATCTAGGAACTCCAGGGTTTGGTGCATATAACTTTAAGGTTTTATTATTTTCTTGTTGAATTAATCCTTTTATCATTTTATAGTGATCATCTTTGTCTTTTTTTTTTAATTTAACTGTCACTGCTTTGAAGTCTGTTTTGTCTCATATAGGAATAGCTACTCCTGCTCACTTTTGGTTTCCATTTGCATGGAGTACCTTTTTCCACCCTTTCACCTTGAATATGTATAGAACATTCTGTGTTAGGTGAGTCTCTTGAAGACAGTAGATATTTGGATTGTGATTTATTATCTGTTCTGCCATTATGTATCTTTTAAGAGGATGGTTTAAACCATTTACATTCAATGTTAATATTGAGATGTGAGGTACTGTTTTCTTTATCATGTCAGTTATTACCTAGATTTGTTTTCGTTGTGTTACTGTTTCATAGACCCTGTGAGTTTTAAACTTTCAAGAGCTTCTATTTTGGTGTGTTTTGAGGTTTAGAACTCCTTTCAGAATTTCTTTTTTAAATTGTACTTTAGGTTCTGGGGTACATGTGCAGATCATGCAAGATTGTTACATACATGGCAAGCTGGTTTGCTGCCTCCAACCCCCCGTGACCTGTATCTGGCATTTCTCCCCATGTTATCCCTCCCCAACCTCCCCACCCCCATCTCTCCCCTGGCCCCCCACAACAGACCCCAGTGTGTGATGATCCCCTCCCTGTGTCCATGTGTTCTCATTGTTCAACACCCACCTATGAATGAGAACATGCAGTGTTTGGTTTTCTGTTCTTGTGTCAGTTTGCTGAGAGTGATGGTTTCCAGATTCATCCATGTCCCTACAAAGGACACAAACTCATCATTGTTTATGGCTGCATAGTATTCCGTGGTGTATACGTGCCACATTTTCCTTGTCCAGTCTATCATTGATGAGCATTTGGGTTGGTTCCAGGTCTTTGCTATTGTAAACAATGCCACAATGAACATACATGTGCATGTGTCTTTATAATAGAATGATTTATAATCCTTTGGGTATATACCAGTCATGAGACCGCTATGTCAATGGAATTTCTATTTCTAGATCCTTGAGGCATCACTACACTGTCTTCCACAATGGTTGAACTAATTTACACTCCCAACAGTGTAAAAGAGTTCCTATTTCTCCACATCCTCTCCAGCATCTGTTGTCTCCAGATTTTTTAATGATCACCATTTTAACTGGCATGAAATGATATCTCAATGTAGTTTTGATTTGCATTTCTGTAATGACCAGTGATGATGAGCATTTTTTCATGTTTCTTGGCCTCATATGTGTCTTCTTTTGAAAAGTGTCTGTTCATATACTTTGCCCACTTTTGAATAGGTTTGTTTGTTTGTTTTCTTGTAAATCTGTTTTAATTCTTTGTAGATACTGGATATTAGCCCTTTGTCAGATGGATAGATTGCAAAATTCTTTTTCCATTCTCTTGGTTGCTGGCTCACTCTAGTGATTGTTTCTGTTGCTGTGCAGAAGCTCTGGAGTTTAATTAGATCCTATTTGTCTATTTTGACTTTTGTTGCCAATGCTTTTGGTGTTTTAGTCATTAGGTATTTGCCTATGCTGATGTCCTGAATGGTTTTGCCTAGGTTTTCTTCTGGAGTTTTTATGGTGTTAGGTCTTATGTTTAAGTGTTTAATCCATCTGGAGTTAACTTTAGTGTAAAGTTTCAGGAAGGGGTCCAGTTTCTGCTTTCTGCACATGGCTAACCAGTTTTCCCAACGTCATTTATTAAACAGGGAATCCTTTCCCCGTTGCTTGTTTTTGTCTGGTTTGTCAAAGATCAGATGGTTGTAGATGTGTGGCATTGCCTCTGAGGCCTCTGTTCTGTTCCATTAGTCTATATCTCTGTTTTGGTACCAGTACCATGTTGTTTTGATTACTGTAGCCTTGTAGTATAGTCTGAAGTCAGGTAG